TGCGAAATCAGACGCGTTTGAGGAGAAAGGAAGAAAAGGTGAGCAGATAATAGCGCGCAAAAAAAAATAATAATAAATAATAAAATTAAAAAAAAATGAGGGCACCTTACTTTGAAGAAGTCGCAGTGGAACGAGCACCAAGAAGGAACTGAGCAGGTGAATACAAACAAGCAACACGACTTCTAACAAATAGATGAGCGGAATTGGCGTAAAAAAAATCGTATTCCTCACCCGCAAATGCGCCATTGCGCTGTAAAAATAAACTATTAGGAATTATTCATAACGTGAACTTTTCATCAACTGCGTCTCTTGGCAAATATGAAGTTGAAGAAAAGCGTGGCTGACGTCCAACTGAATGAAATATGTCCTCCCTGTCATTAAGACTTTCAGCTGGTATGGACACATTCAGGTTGAGTTATGAACGAAGACATCGATTCTGTGAAGGCTGAGAACTTTCATAGGACTTGTAGATGTGGGGAAATCCGTTTTAGAGTCAGAATGTTTATTATTCTTATTTTTAAAATGATTTCCAACTTTCAACTTATTTAGCAACAACACGAATGTCCAAAGTAAAACACGAGCTTCTCTTATGTCTGATAATGTGGCGTCGATCCAGCTGATCTCGCGGGTTTTCGTCGCACATTAAGGCAGATTATTCTGATCGAGGATTTATAAACATATGCTTCCGACCTGTTTTCATTGTATATGTTTGGTTCTTTATTCTTATTTTTGATATTTAGTCGCCTGATATTTGATATTTAAATATCGCCTTCTCTAAAGATTAAATGGGTAAAGAAAAAAAAAAAAACATTTAATTCATTTAAGAATTCTATTGAATTAATCAGTTTTCGTAATTTGAATCTTAGCAATTTGTTCAAATGTTTAAAATGAATTTAAGTGTCTTTTTAGCTGCAAACCTTTTATGATTCTGTTCACTAAAATGAAACAATGTATGCAAACGGATTAAATCATGATTAAGTTTTATTATTAGTGATCAAATCAACATTTGATCATGCTGATTCCACACCATCAGCATATCCAAACGCAATACAGTTTTGCGGAAACTTGCATTCCCGTATTTATTTTTGCTCTTTCTCGTCTGGGCTTCCAGATGATTTCCGGGCCCCTGCAGGAGCCGGGCCTCTGGAGGACGCGAAGACCGAGGAGCTGGAGCGGCCCAGGCCTCGGAGGCGCAGGAAGCCGCGGGTCCTCTTCTCCCAGGCGCAGGTGTACGAGCTGGAGCGCCGCTTCAAGCAGCAGAGGTATCTGTCGGCCCCGGAGCGAGACCACCTGGCCGGGGTGCTCAAACTCACCCCGACCCAGGTGAAGATCTGGTTCCAGAACCGGAGGTACAAGTGCAAGCGGCAGAGGCAGGACCAGAGCCTGGAGATGGTGTCCCTGCCGCCGCCCAGGCGGGTGTCGGTCCCGGTGCTGGTGCGGGACGGGAAGCCCTGCCTCGCCGGGGAGGCGGCCGCCTACAACCCTTCCTACGGCGTGGGCCCCATCAATCACTTCGCCTACAACAACTACCCGGCCTTCGGCAACTACACGGGGCCCGGATGCAACACGAACTACGCGTGCAGTTATCCCGTCGGCGCCGTGCAGACTGTGCAGGGCCCGTCCGGCACCGGGAGTTACGTGAACTTCGGGGTGGGAGACCTGAACAACGTCCAGAACTCGTTTCCTCCCAGCGGCGGAGTGTCCTCGCTGCACGGCATCAGGACGTGGTGACAAAACCATCCCGGAGCAAAGTTTGGTGGAGCGGATTCTGAGACTGCATGCGGATTCCTGAAGGCGTCCAACACAGAGAGGAGGATTTATGTAGCTCTAGCTGAACCTTTTGGGTTGTTCTTGATTTTAGCACCAGGTTGTTGTTTTATTGTTGTTGTTGTTGTTTTCCTCCCCTAAGTAACTAAGACGTCAATTTATGGCGCACTGTGTAATTTCTCCTTAAATGATAGTAGTAGTAATAAAAAAAAGGTGGAAACATAAACTCACATATTCTACTTTTATTTTGAATTTCAAATTTGTCATAACATTATTATTATTATTATTATTATTATTATTATTATTATTATTATTATTATTGTAACTCTTAGTCCTGTCCACTGAGAAGTTCTGCTTGCCAGCAGGTTGTAGCTGAACAGATCAACTACGAGTTTAAATTCCTGCTCTCACACAGACACTTTTTTCATCACAGTCTTGCAGTAATTTTTCACCTTCACTGAGTCTTTATGCTCATTCACAATACAGCCCTTGAAAACATGTCGGCCTTCAAGAACAATGGCTGAGCAAGACAAGATTTTCAGTCTAATTCTAATCAAAACAAATTAGCTTTGATTAGAATTTAACTTTTAAATTCAGAGAATTTAAAAGTTAATCCAATGTTACGTTTACAAATGAGATTTTTGGTTAAGACTTTGAATTTTCTATAGTTCCTAATATAGGAAATTAGGAACTAATTTTACAGTGTAGACATACATTGTTTTGGACATGTGGCTTGTATTGTGGAAAATAAGTAAAAGTTAAGAACCGTCATGACTGTGGATGTGAAACTTGCCGCGACTGAGCAGGAACTCAAGTTTTATAGACAGACTTGCTTAGCGAATGTTGTAGTCAAACCTGCCAGCAAAAGGAGCTCCGTATGAGGCAGCCCCTGCAAAGGAACGGGATACGAAGGCTCACCTTCCGCTTTTATGGAACACGCATCTAAAAAAATACGTCACAGTTTCAGTCTCATTTTCAACCTTAAGCAGAGCTCTCCGATTATTTGTGTGTGTGTTGGTGTTTTTTAGCACAGGAAGACAACACAGATGAGCAAAATCATTTTGCAATCAGTTAAAATCTATTTGACTCAACTGAGGGTCTATCAGGGGCTGCACAGTGGCGCAGTTGGTAGCACTGTTGCCTTCAGCAAGAAGGTCCTGGGTTCGATTCCTGGCCTGGGGTCTTCATGCATGGAGTTTGCATGTTCTCTCTGGGTACTCTGGCTTCCTCCCACAGTCCCAAAACACGACTGTCAGGTTAACTGGTCTCTCTAAATTCTTCTTAGGTTTGTGTGTGTGTGTTCTTCTGTGTTCGCTGTAGATCGACCCCACGAGGCACCAGGGTGTTAGAAAATGGATGGACGGGGGTCTTTTGTCTTCACAGCTTCCATACTTCCAGGTCAGAAAGTATTAAAACGCTTGAAGAAAATGTATGCAATGTATTCATCCAACAATTTGCATTCCCAATGTTCCTTGGATTTGAAATAAAATCGGTGACTGAGAAGGAACTAATTAACGACATCCTGACAGAATGAACTATAAACCCTCATAATGGAGATTAGTGGCTGTTAAAAACCCTGGCATGGTTCATGTCAGGTTAAAATGTTCAAGTGGCTGTTGGAAAGCTTCAGTCATTTTTACTTAAACAAGGTGAAAAGGTTGTTAAAGGTTTAGTCGTTTTTACAGCCGGCTGTCAGCCAACTTCGCTCTGTACACAAACGCTTAGAGGCCGCTGGGGGCAGAGCCGGCTGCCGGTCGTGACCTTGACCCGTAATAAACCTTTGACGACAACTTGAAATGTACAAATTCTCACACCGAAAAGATTTTTAAAAAAAGACAACAAAATCTATTGTTGGCATTTCAGGTGGACTTGCAAATCTTAAAGAGTTTCTTGCACACACTGAGAATTAGGTTTGAGTACAGCTTAATTTAAAATAATTTATTTTAGCTGGACTCGGCAGCAGGAATGTGTGATTTATGGACTTTAGCACAAGTGTTTCTGGCTATTAATGTGTCTGCATACAGCCAAAGCTTGACAAAAGCATTCCTTCAAAATTCAAACTTAACCAATGAATCACAATGTGTTTAGTGATTTGTGCTCCTAAGAAGTAGGCTAAACACGGCTTTTATGCAATCATGTTTTAAAAAGCAAACAACGAAACGACAGTAGAAAAATCAGTCAAAAAGCAAAGTTAATCCAATTTCTTTGACAGATGAAATAAATCTTTACAACTAAGATTTATTGTAACAGTTTGCAAACATCTATCTGAATAACACTGAAATGGGATGGTTACTTACCGACATTCTGCATGTCTAAAGCAAGTTAAAAACCTTTCAAGTGTGTTCAAAACATAATTATTCAACTAAATTAGTTGGATTTGAAATAATCATGAAGGTAATTCCGGTTTATCCTGCTTGCTGAAAAGAAACAAATAAAAAGGAGGCTTTTGATTGAAGTATATAATGTAACATCATATTATTGTTTTCCCTGACAACCGGCGACGGTGTGCAGTTTTCAGGGTTAGGAAGCTTAGTTTGTAGAATAGTTTGACTTTAAACTAGCAGCTAAACTAGTTGGAAACAAACTTACATTTTTTGCTCTAGCACAGAAACATTTCTAACCACAAATTGTAGGACAGCTCCTTTCGGTGAATGGATGAGTTCATCCATAACACAACCCTTATAAACACGGCAGTCCACTGGCACCATGTGGATCAGAGGCAGAGCAGGAGCCTCCTCCATCAGTCCTGTTCACGATTTCATATTAGCTTCAGGGGCTTGAAGAGCATCATCACAAAATGAATAACACTTATTTTTCAGGGGAAACGATTCCCAAAGCAGTGCAAATGGATTTCACCTCAGGAAAACTCTGCGTGTCAAACAAGCGAGGAGTTGCTGAAGTTTCGGTTCGGTCCGCCTCTATGTTTAGCGCGCGGGGAAATGTGCTCCCCTTTGTGCTCTTCAGAGACCCTGACCCACTTGTCGAGATACAAACGAAACCACTCCATTAACAATATCTCTGTGCTAAATGGAAGAATAGTCTAATTTGCTCAACAGAGAGCTCCAGGCCTCATCTAAGTGTCCAGGAGAGGAGAGGAGCAGGCTCGGCCCAACTGCCTCCACTTCAGATGAGAAGGAGACGCTTACGCATCTCTCAGGTCTCTTCACACGTACTCTGTCTGTCATCCTCTTTAAAACAATACACGCAACTCTGCAACGCAATACAAAGATAAATATGTAAGAGTTAATGTTTATTCAAAGCCAGCAAAAAACAAAACAAACAAAAAAACATTTTATAAAAATAATTTGCATGATAAACCAAAAGGCAATGGAAAGCAGTTTGCACAGAGGCTAGCAAGGTCATGTAGCTTCTCTGACCATCCTCTCCTCTGTGGTGTTGAAAAGGCAACGTCAGATAACGGCAGGCGCGCAAACCTAAAAATATCAACCCTCACTCATCCACCACCCACACTGGAATAAGAGGGCGGTGGGGGGGGGGGTCTGTCGGAATAATCTGCTTTTCCGGGTCTTATCTGAAGAAAGGCAGCGGATGAATGTGGCTCTATCTCTACCGGTGTGAACGGCGCTGCTGCTGCTGCTGCTTTACGGCGCTTCAGTCCTGCGCATAAAACACTGCTAGGCTTGAAGCTGGAATGAAACCTGAAATAAGTGCAGTCCTTCAAAATAATAATAATAATAAAAAGAAAAAAAACAGGGAACAGGATGTGAAGTAAGACATTTTGTGATCTTCATAAAATAACGGTGTGTCTTTTTTCGCCAAAAGTTATTTATTTTTTTATTTGCCTTAATCATCTTCTGGCAATAAAGAGGTGTTTTGTTTTGTTTCTTTCAAAAATCATTTTTGGGAAAAAAAATGACTTAAGCCTTCATTTTATGAAGGTGACAATATTCAACACGGCAATTGAGAAAATCAGGACATTTTATAGCAGTTATAAATTATACATAATAGTAATCATACAGAACTTGGTGACGAACAGCGTTGATACAAAAAGGTGTAAGTGTTTTTGCAAGTTGCTTATCTCATACTGAATAATAAAAACTGGCAAACAGCTGCTCTGGATTTGCTTCCAAAATGCACATGCATGTAATTTCAGGTTACCATCTAAAATTAATCAACTATATTACAAACTACTGTAGTTTCAGAACTTTTATCAGACTAAAAACTAATTATCTGATGGAGAGGAAAAAAAAATACATGCATCTTGCTTGCACGGTCTTTCCACCTTTAAGGTAATTTAAGAACAAAAACAGACACTTGAAATAATGAAGCATAAAGACCTTGCGATCCAACTGGTCATTAAACCACAGCTTTACAGTCAAAGTGCTGTTTTCTTTAGTGTGACAAATGCAAAGCTCAATAAATTAAACACTAAGAAGAACTGCAGACATGCAGGATTATCCTCCTATTTGTGGACAGAATTTTTTCAGAGCAGCTTGGAATTCGTTGCGAATGTGGAGGGAAAATCATCTGGATTCACGCGGGATAATGCGAAGCTCCTGGTCTATAAGAAAGGGAACAGCCTCTTTTTGAGGATGTAGAGAACCGTAGCAAAGAACAGAGCCAGCGCCAAGAAGATGAGCAGCTTGTCGGTGAGCTCCCTGCGGTTGTACTTGGTGATGAGCTTCCTGCCCAGCTGAATGGTCCCGGTCATGGCTTTAAACTCCTCGTTCGTCTCTTGAACCGTTCTCGACGAGGTTGCTGGAACCAGAAATTTAAAGAGTAAATAAAAAAGGGTGTTTATTACAATATTTTTTCTGTAAAGCAGAGCAGGAGTACTTTTGACTTTTAACAGAACTAAGGTTGCTGCAATGTGTCAAGTGTGTGTATTAATTAGCATAAATCTGAAGTTGGCAAAGTTAGCGTTAACAAGTGGTCTTTCCATGGCTGACCTAGTGTTGTTATGGAGTCTTCGCTCTGCTGAACCTGCTGGGCCATCATCCGGCTGATGCTCATGAGATTCTCTGTGATGTCGCTGGCACTTTGGGCGAGGCCCTCTTTGGTCATCTTCCTGAAAACCGAAAGCAGCTTTTTAAATGAGCTGAAAAGCTACCTTGTTCTGAAGAGAAAGCTGCGGTTTTGTGACATTTAAGGACATTTTAAGACAGAGCAGCAGGCTTCCCGCTCACCTCTTCCTCACAGCGCCATCGGCTCCATTCAGCAGCGCCTGCTTTTCCATTTTGTCCATGGACAGTTTGCTGGCGAGGTTGGCTTTCCTCCAGGCCGTCTGGTTGCTGCAAACAAAGGAATGTGTTCATTGAGCAGAAATGCACTCAGAAATATGACATGGCTGGTTATCTGATAGCGATCACCTCAGCATCTGCTTTCTGTGTCCCTCTACTTCACTGAGCAAAGACTGCTTGTCCGACTCTCTGTCTTGTTCCATAGCCATCCGCTCAAAGTCCTGTTTGAACCCCAAAGCAACACAGACATTTTGCAAAATGTTTTCTCATCAGAAGCAATGGGTTTTTTTTGCTTCCCCCCCCCCTTTTGTACCAAAAATAAATAAAAACTCTCACCTGGATCCTTAATCTGAGGTTGTGAAAGTGCTTTTTCACGTCTGTGTTTATTTCTGTCAGCTTGCTCTGAGGGCCGTCGAACTCCGTAATATCCTGTCAAGACAAGACGGATGAGGCTGCGCGCGTCCAGTAATACATCACGTTATGTCTCGTAAATCTTCAAAGAAGAATGAAAGCCTGAGTGCGGGACAAACTATTATTGTAAAAATATAAATAAAGTCTAACAAGAACCCAGAGGACTGAAGAATTTGACTGGTTTCCTTATGAGAGGTTAATTTAATCAATTTAAAAAGAAACAAAGACAAACACGTTTCTAAAGCGCTAAACGTTCATGTCTGCCAAACGGTGTCCGAGTTTTAACAATCAAACTGAGAGAAAAGAAATTACAAAAGTGAGCAACTGAAAAATAAGGCTCTAGCTGTGATGAAATCGAAACTTATTTTTACTTTTATGAGTGCGAGAAAAGAAAGTTGCGAAAATAATAAGGTATTTTTCAATTTGACCCAGATCTAAACACACTGCATTTTAGATGGACATTTACAGAAAGAAATATGAACAAAATATTCTTCATACATCCATTTGTGCATTTGTTTAAAATAAATTGTTAGGGTGCCAATGACTTGTTATTACAAATCTTGTTAAAATATTCAATAACATTTTTTTTCTAAAAAATAAATAAAATAAAAATAACAAAAAAACATGTGGTGTGAGCAAACAAAAAAAATAAAACTATACTTTTTCAAACAGAACCCAAAGCTGCACTCTTTCTAGATGGAGATCATACTCCAGCATTATAAAAAATTATATTACAGGAATACAATTTAATCCTTATAAAATGCCTGTTTTAAACTCTATTAAATTGTATGTGTAAAAAATAATCTGGCCAATAGTTTATCTAAAAAGAATAGCAATATATATATATATATATATATATATATATATATATATATATATATATATATATATATATATATATATTCATCCCATATATTTACTTGAAATAATACTATTAATAATCATAATACTGCATTAGTTTGAATATGCACAACTCTTTGATAATGAGACATATACAATTATGCTAAATTTACACACATATAAAATGTCTATTTTTCTCCAGATTGCATGCTTCTTACACCAGTGTGAACATTTGTTTTCATTGCGAACACGTCACCGAACAGGACTGACGTGACCTTTCTAGGGCAATTCATGACGTAGTGGGCTGTCTCGGTATCGTTTTATTTATTTATTTATTTATTGCGCCTTTCAGTTCCCATAATGAAAAGTAACAACCCTCAATGTCTTCAAATACGGTTGAATGGTTAAGCTCTCGTAATAATCGGTCACAAGCTGCAGCTCGAAGAAACTCGAGCCGTTACGTTTCAGATTTAGCATGAAGGCTAGCTGTTGTCCATGGCAGCCGCACAGAGCAGCGTCCCCTAACATGTCGCTGGAGGGTCTTACCAGAGGAAAATTCGCACCTGGATAAGAGCCTTGATTTCCAAGTCATATTTGAGTATTTCTTGCTCACACACTCGGACGTGGACATCCGAAGTCGCCATGTTGCCAACGTAGCCGGTGCTACAACTACGGCAAGCAGGAAGCTGCCGGTTTCATACGGGTAGTGTGTACACAAAACACAAGATTTATTTTTCTAGACATCTAAAAGTACCTCGTACATGTTTCAAACGTTCTTCTTTTTGCCATTATAATCATTTTACTTGCGTTTATTGGAATGCTATTGCATGTATATTCAAATCAATAAAAATACATGTCATTCTCAGAGATTTCAATTGTCAGGCTAAACTTCTTCATGGAAATAAATTACAGGAAAAAAAAAAAACAAACTGGGAACTTAGGAATTTATTAATTGGGACTTAAAGTTTGCTGCGTTCTTTAGTAGCAAGAAAACAGAAACAGGTCAAGCTTGTGTCAGCCTCAGAACAATTTAATTAAACGTCACTCATATTACACACAATGTACACAACATATAAACACAGCAGCAAGTGAAGGCCGTTTCAATTTAAGGTTCAGAAAAATCACGTAATATCTCTTAAATCTTTGAAGATCATTTTAAGCAAGGCACCCATGCCGACGTCACTCCGAAACTAAAGGCACAAGAGTTCTTGGTTTTCGGTGAGCTGAGTAATGGTGTCCGGAAGGCGACAGCATCAGCGTCCAGGCCATCGATGCTGTAGAAAAACAATACGATACAGTTTCAGAAAGCAAAGAAAAGAAACTGTTGAGCAAACACAATTTCCAAGAGGGGAGCTGATGGGGAGACGTTTACCTGCAAAGTAAGGAGTTCTTGAAAGGCAAGTTAATCCCAGGCCAAGTTCAGGTACCAGATGATGTCAGTGGACAGGGATGGCCCAAAGAGTGGGTTCAGCTGAGCCAGAATTGCTATCAACCAGCTGATGGAGAGCACATACAGAAAGGTAACTTTTCAGCTTCTGACTGTATTGGAAGACATATTCTCAAAACCTCAAACAGCCAATATATTTTAAAAGGTCATTCAAGATTTACTCTACACAGAGCTGTTCTCGGATGAGAAGATAGGAAGACAGCTTTGCTTCTACTGCCCTCTTCTGGTCATTTGTGTGCAACATGCCAGATGAATAATTAATCTTTTAAATATCCCCGTCATTGTTTGTTGCACTCATAATAAATAAGTAAATGGAATACAAACCAGATAGACTACAGAGGTTAGGTCTTGTTAATTCTCATACTCGTAAATAAAATTGAGTTCAACCAACTATCTGAAGTTACTCTAAATAGTCTATAGATCCTAAGCGAGTTCTTCCCAGTTTAACTCTTGAAGATCAAGGAACACACTCTTTGAACATTTCAGTGTCCTTTCAATCAGTCATCTGAAAAATGTTTTTATTTAATCTGAGAAGCAGCCAACTGAGCCATAATAACTGCAACAGGTGTAGATATCCACTGCAGAAAACCTATTGAGGGCTGAGAAAGACTTGGGCAAAAGTTCCCTAAACACACCATCAACCTCTTTAAGCTATGCATCATTTCCCTTCTACATCATCCCATCGCATCAAATCCTCATAAAATATATCCAAGTGTGTGGCTGCTTTTGTGCGACAAAATGTAAGAGCTTTCTAAATGTTTTTTATGAGGTGCAATAACTTTAATATTTTCAGCTGCTTGAACTGAATTGTTGTCAGATCTTTGATCTCGATGAGCTTTACTCTAGTAAAAGTTGAAGAATAATACATGGTCATAAAAAAATAGCAACAACACATCCAGACAAATGTGTCCTTCTGTTTTACAGTGTTCGGTTAAATGTATTGAAAATTATACAGGAGGAAGCAGAAATCCTGGATGGAAATACTTACAAGAGGTAACAGCAGACTGCAGTAAGCACCAACATTGTGATAATAACTCTGCAAGACAAAAACAGAAAATCCCGTGAGCCGATGAGGAAAAAAGGGAAGCAGCAAAACACTTTTAAGAACAGCTTCCACCTTTTTAAATGTATTAAATGTGCAGTATTTATGTCTAAACGGGTTGTGCCGAAAGTGCGCTTCATGATACATAGAGACTGAAATGAAGCTGGCTACACACACACTGTGAAATTAGCCTCACGAAGCTAACCTAAAGTTTTACAAGAATTTCGCAAAAACTTATGTAAGCTTAAAAGTCAGGCCAAAAGAAAAACAAAGTCAAGAAGAAACGTTCATAAAAATGTAACTTTGTTAATGTTGGGGTGGATTTAACCAGACGAAAGCTAACATGAGCTAACAAACTCACCCTCTGTTGGGTCCTTTGGGGATAAACCAGGGCACAACTCCTCCAACGAGACCCCAAAACAAAGTAATTACAGACATTACGATGGCAAACTGATGATCCGCCATTGTTTTAAAAACCAGGGGTGTCGAAAAGTTGAAACAGTTCAACTTAATTCAACTTCGGTCGTCTGTCCAAGTGATATATCCTGTGACGGGGGAGCAGGCAGCGCGTATCACATGACTGTGACAGAGAGAGGAAGTGAAGAGGCTGGCGGAGGAGCCGTCTATGTCCTGGAAAATAGCCCCTTTTAATATTGTGCATGCTTATTTTCAGCAGGGATTAGTCCTTCAAAAAACTAGAAATATCTGCTGCTTATTTTGAAAAACTTAAAGTGATAATTAAACTCGGGGGGTTTGTGATTAGTCTTAAAATTGTATGCTGCAGTGCAGAAAAAGTAGGACAGAAGTAAAATTTATGTAATTGCACAGATTATACTTTTATTAAGAGTGATTGGTATTGACTAATTGTAAATGAATGTAATCTGAAACGAGATTGTTTTGGACAATATTCAGTTTTTGGAAATTCTGACGAGCATTTAGTGACACCTGCTGGTCACTTTGTGAAACGACACATTCACACAAAAACTGGATTTTATTAGTTTAAGTGGATAGTGTTACATGACCTTCAGTGCTTTACATAACTTCACTCTATGCTTCAATAATTAACTAGCATGTAAGTCTTGGTTGTTTATTTTCCATTTCGTACCTTAACTTCTAAAGCCGTTACATCAATGTTATCAATGTTCTATTAAGTCTATTAAGTTTTAATAGACTTAAAATGTTGCTATTCTGATTTATTATTTGCAACGTTCCTACATTTAAAAATACTTGTTGGATAAAAAGTGATTAAATCGTAGTCTAGCAAAAAAAAAAAAAAAAAAAAAAACATTTTTACATGAAAACGTAATTATGAAAAAAATACCACACTAAATTGGTTTAGTTTGTTACTGTGCTGGTTAGCAGTAAATGATTTAAATTGGGAAAATTTAAATAGTTCAGACAGCAAAGGAAACAACTTTAATTTCATTCAGCCTAAAGGATATGAAAATCAAGTTATGTCTCAAAATGACTTTTGGTTCCCTCTGTAATTGCCCACCTCCGAACCTGAAAGACTTAATTTTACTAAACTAAAAGACTGATCTTTAGAGGACATGATGGACATTGGAGAAGCCCTGAAATATTTTAACTCAGAAAATATACAAATGTGACACAATAGGTCAAGTTCAGCTGTTCTTTCTCACAGACTTTTGTCAGGTGTAATTTAAAATGAATTTTTCACAACATATTTTAAACAGTCACACATGTGGACTCTAACATCTTGTGACGTCTTAATTTTGGAATATTAATATGCATCTATGCATGTACACATAAAACTCCAAACAAAATGAGATCCAATTATACAGTTTATTAACAGCAAAAGATCATTTTCACTCCTGCATCTTCTCGATGGTCTCCTCCTTGTATTTGCCCTTGTCCTTCCCAACAGCGCGAGACTTGGCCTTGCGCTCAAGGATCTTCTTGCGATCCTTATCGAGCTTTAGCCTAGTGATGACCACCTGGAAAAATAAAAACATGACTTGGTAAGCATCATGTCTCACTGCAATCATTAAGAGCCCTCAGAACAACAAAATATCCATTGGCTGCGTATCATCAGCAAATGTGTAATTTTGACAGTAGTATCAAAAATAGGTTATTAAAACTTTAATAACCAGAAAGAGGCATAAATACATAAAGATTTGAATAAAGTGCTCAGAAACAAAGCAATATTTTTAAAGTAATGTTTCAGTGACATCAACCTACCTCTTAGTTTTTAGTATTCACTTCTGCACTGTTTTAATTTGTTTAAGCACAAAAATGTCTTGCTGGAGATGGGCACTGGCACCCCTCCCAAACCCACTAGGGGTAAGGGTGTACAGAAAATGGATGGATGCACAAATATGTGTTTAACTATGTACTTTTAACTGGATGCAACTAAATGGAAAATAAATAGGTATTGTTTGAAGACAGAGCTTTAGATGCCGGATTACATGGAGCATTACGAAACGCTTAAGGTGCAACCTGTGATTTGTTATGCTTTCAAATACATTTTTAAGCTTTATAAATAAACATATAAAATAATCATAATCTATATCTATACTGTGAGCACTTCTCCACAACACCAGGAAAAGGTCAAAAATGTGTAAACGTTTGTGAACCTGCTGTTCAAGGATACTTGTAGTGCAAGTTAGTCTTGAGTTTTTAAAATTGTGGTTCAGCATGCAGAATTTGAAAAACAGGTTAATTACCATAATTTTAAAAGGGCAGTTAAGATCATCAGGAAATTTGGCATTTCCACTTCTGATTTAATGTTTGACAGAGAAAGGTTTTATGCAAAATATTTATGCACATTTCACTCATCTTTGTGTCTTAATGACAAAGGAAACAATTCTGATCTCCACTGTTAATCCACATGTAATGAATATAGCTCTGTGTCAGTTCAGAGTCAATACAAACATGCACAAAGCTGTGCAACTACACACAGCAGGACAAGCTGTCAAGCTAACACAGTTGGATTTTGCTAGGTGTAATGAGAATCGGTCACTGATTTATGGTTTTGGGACTGTGCAACAACAATAATAATCTACATAAATATATAATGTAATAGAATAAATAAATCCAAATAAGAAATAATCTTTATTAAGTGGATTGTATCACATGAAAAGATCAAAGTTAAATATGCATTAGATAAATTAAATAATAAAAACATTAAAGGTTTTAAATGGAAGCATTAAAAATCGCACTCTATCCTTCACTCAAATGTCAAGCCCACCTGATTTTTTCCTTGATCTTTTCCCCCACAGCCAACATGAAGAGTCAAACACTAAAAGCCTCAGATTTACATTATACACTTAAAAGCGTACAGCTGTTGTCAACATGTGCAACACATGACAAGTTCAAGTTTACTGCATAAACTTGACAAAGTTTATATGGTAACTTCCACATACACAGTTTTATAAAAGAGAAAGCTGTTGAGCTTTTAATTATCCCTTCAGTATCTCAGGCTAATTGAATTTCATGCCTGAAGGAAACTAACGTCAACAATGTAAATGGAGCAAACGCTTTTTGCAGCCCTATTAAAAAGCGTTAACAGCAGAGTTGCTACACATTTTGTCATTTCAACTTTCCCCTGCAAATTTTGTTATACTATTGAAAACTAAAATACCAAAGTCTAAAATGTTCAACTGAAATGATCATGTGGCATAGATGTGATTGAACAAGTTTTCCAAACTTGGAAAGTGATGAAAACAAGTCCCACTCTTTAAAATTGCATAGGAACCCTGTAGTAGTTACAATAAACTCTACAACAGTTTGAGAGATTCATCCAAGCAGATTTTCATCATGAGACAATTTTGTTATTTGAGCCCAAGACAACAAAGTCCACTCTTTCCACTTGCAAATCCTTTACACCACATTTCTGAAACGCTGAAATAATTAAACCAATGAAATACTAGACAATAGTTCTCAGAGCAATCGCCTGACAAGCCCACACATTCAAACAATCTGAAGAGACGTCACCACATGACCCTACACAGCTCAGTTTTAACACTTCAACACATCCTTCCAAGCCGAGGACCTTCGGAAATGTGTCTCACCTTGCTGGGATGGATGCCGACATGGACTGTGGTTCCGTTGGCCTTCTCTCTCTGCACACGCTCGATGTAGATGACATACTTCTTCCTGTAGACCTGCACCACCTTACCGATCTGCTGCCCTTTGTAGTGTCCACGGACAACCTGGGAGCAAAAGCATCACTGGCTGAGCTACACTGTGATCAAACTTCATCGTCTTGGCAAGAACTCTTCAGCCCTCGGAACCACATTACCTGCACTTCGTCGTCTTTGCGGATAGGCATTGACCTCACGTTGTACTTCTGGCGGAGCTCCTTGGACAGCGGGGAAGACATGATCTTCCTCCTGATGTGTGAAGGGGCATTGAAGTGCCTCTTGCGGTTCTTGCGACGGGAGGAGGTTACAAATGGGTTAAGCTTCATGATGCTGTGGAGTGAAACAAACAGGCTACATTGTGAAACTGAAAAGGTCACATATCCATAAGAAAACGGCACTTATAACTCATCGCCTCTGAAACATCTTCATTATACAGCCTGCAAATAATTACGGTGGCCAATATGAAGTTTATTGCACATAGAAGTAGAGCAACTGTTTGCACACAAGCTAGCATAGTCCTCACAGGGTAAAGCTACATGCTAAAGTGGCTAACGGCGCTCCGAAGGTTTAACTACAAGTTAAAGAGGGAACTCGGTTATTTCACAAAGACGGAAACTCATTAGAAGTAGTCGACGGAACTCGTGGACCTATAAAAGTCAAGAATTACAGTCGTTTTCACCCGAAACGAAGTCGTTCAACTACAGTTGAGAGGCATGCGGATAGAGCCGTAGCTAACCGGGAGCCCATATACAGTTTGTCCGTATATCATAATCTACCACTAAAATTACATCAATAATATCGGTAATTTATTAGTATTCATGTTTACATTGTGTTATTGTGTGTTCATTGCGACACAGCGACGTTACATGGAGGATGGATGTTGATAACTGTGGTAAATTTCGCTGACAGGAATCCTTACCCTGCCTGTGCTCCTCTATGGCCGGCGGAAAAGAGACCTGCAATGTACTTCCGCCTACATTAGTTCAAAGCGAAGTCTCGCGAGATGTGCAGGCTCACTTAAAAACTAATGCACGTAAACAAAATTAAAGACCACCTACTTCTAGTATTGACATCTGCGCTGCTTCCGTGAATATTTATAGTTATTACATTGTGGCTCGAAAGGTCATTTTAAAACTTTTTGAGTTGTTTAATTTTTACTTACATTTTTTTTGTATTATTGCGAATTAAAGTAATTTTTAGACTTTGTGCGAAATAAAGAATGTTCTCCAATGTGCTCTTACTCATGCCACGTTACAAGTTTGTTCAATATAAATAAAATGGTCACAAGGTGGCGCCAGACCTAATCAATCGATAATCTGCTCAGCAAACAAGTTTTGTTTATGATTCATCCCGGTCCGCGCCGCGGTTCGTCACAGCGTGTCATATCTCACGGTTCGATCTCTGTTATCGGCTGCAGTTGCTCTCCCCGCTCGGAGCAGCTGACAAACAAACAGCAGAGGCTGCGCTCACCCCACAGACCACA